TGTCATAAGAACAAGTGAAGTCAAGTCAAAACATTTTGTTTTCAATATGAATTACCAACAGAAAAAGTGCTGGCTGCACGAAAAGCCGTTCCGGCTCCAGCACAAGACCGGAATGTTGACAGAATTGAAAATTAATAGACTGAGCAAACTGTGGCATGTGATCACGTCAATTTGTAGCACTAGGCAACAGTTATCGAGGGATGGAATTTAGGATATGATTCCAGTTTAAGACGCTAAGTAAGCAGTGCGATGGAATATAAGTCAATGCAATTAGGGTGAGAGTCAACGGAAAAATTGTCCTTTAATTATAATAGTTGTCCCAAATTTACATGCACATTAAGAAGCCATAAATAATTATACTGACAAACCCACATACTTGACAGTGTTAGACATTCATTGAACAATTCATGTCTCTGTTCTACATTGCATCTATTTGGACATACTTTTGAAACAGCTGTACAATAGGCCTATTTTGTTCAGAAAATTGTAGTAAATTTTGTTTTTATACAACAAACAGTACAGAGCGATATGTCAATGCCTACTTTATTTTCAGGTCACAATATAATACGAGGAATAAGTGGAGCCTGAAAGCATGCTGAAAGCACTACCTCAAACAATGGCACCTCACACGCGCACAAAACCTTGCTAAGTGATATTGAGTCAAATGAACGCAAACTCGCTCAATGTCTGACCGACATTAAAAAAACACACACACACACACAAAATATATGCATGGACCCTAGGGCAACATCAAGCATCGATTGCAGTTTAGAAGGGGCAGTCAGCGGCTCATTCAAACCGCCTTGAAAATCTTTTGGCGTTTGAGCTTGCAAATGGATCCTGAAAACCCGCAACAAGGGCGGTGCAACTCTATGCCGTAAAATCAATGCGACTCGGAGCTGAAGTTAAGCAGAGAAGAACGATACCAATATCGTGGGAGTGGGACAGACTGAAAGTGAAATGTAACCCAATAGGGCATATGGCAGGCCCATTTCTTTTCATCTTCAACGCTTTAAAAGAAAACCACGTTTGACATTTGGGGGAGTTTCAGAAACAGCACTGATCAAAATATCATCTGAATGGCATCCTCTGTCATCAGGATTGCTCAGTTGGCAATGATTACAAAAAATCCAAACGAAGGTACACGTGCGTAATCACCCTGACTTGCCGTCATGCTTTTATCGAACAACCCATCTCTCAAGTAAAAGTTCAGTCATGGAACGTGAAGTGCATGAAAGATAATCAAAGTTGGTCACAAGGAAAATTGAAGTATTCTTTTCTCATTAATGAGAAATTTGCACTTAACTTTTTAGGGTTGTTTCCTTTTTTTGTTGAAAGCAATTCTAGAAATCACTCGGCTACTACTTTAAGATAATCATGCACCATATTTTAGTCACCAACTTTGCAGATTGTATTACACTGATTGCCTCAAGCCACACTCTCTTGCTCAGGAGTATAGTGCTCCTCAGTCGCCAAAAAAAGCTAATTGCAAAAGCATTTGACTCACAAATTTCACAATTTAATTTCCCATGAATACCATTTAGAGTAAGTTCAAATTTAAAGTTCAACAGCCTAGGGCGTACAAGTACAGCACATGTATGTGACATGTACATCGACACGTATGCCAGGCAATGCTTACTAGAATTAACATGTAACTTTGCCTTTGAATCATTTGGAATTATGGAACTCATCACGACCTCCAAAGGTTAAAGGTCAAGCTCTTCAATCAATGGCAGACAACTCTGTGCACAAAGGTTGCAGCAATCTTTGATTAAATTCAGATAAATATAGACATCTCTGCTGGTAAACTCATTAATCATGGCACACTGTCCTCATAGCAAAAAAAAAAAAACGAGCTCCCCCATAAAATGTCTTCGAGATTGGTTTATTCAGTCTGTAATGTTCAGAACGGTACAAAGATAAATTTTCTTTTAATCAGCAAACAGGTTGCCAAGTGGACTTATCAAAATGTAAAATTTAAGTTTGTCTTGTATTTAATATTCACTTAGTTGAATTTTACCAAACCAGTGTAGCACATTCCTGAATATCTAGATGTAAAAGCCCAACTAATGACTAGAAATTTAAAAAATAGCTTAAATGCTGAGCACTCCATTTGTATTTTGCACTTAAGCTGCATCATGTAAATGAACGTTCTAATGTTTTGTAGTACATGTATATACGCCATCCCATAAAACATTTTCTTAATGTGACTAAACGTCCATGCTCATAAATTTATTGCTTATGATACAGTCTACTGACCGTCATGTAAGACACGACATTTTCCAAACGTACACGCTCCGGTGAATCATGTATTCAATTACTGGGAATTGCGCAGCCAGCCATGCGTTAAATGTACCACGCATCTGACTCAATAGCACATAATCTGCGCATCTTGCATCCAGAAAAAAAAATCACACAAAACAACTATCTTCCAGAACAGAACACAAACGACAACCCAAAAATACTTGCTTATAAATCACAAAAGATTCAAAATGTCATTTCTTCAGATAAGGCCAAAAAAAAAAAGTCTCCGGTTTCTGGTATGGAGCTTGCCCAAAAAGTGGTGCGGCGACGAGGCTTTTTTTTTTTTTTTACCTGATTTTTTTGCTTCAAATGTCGGCTGATGACTGCAAATGGTGCCCGACTAATCTTAGTGCAAATATATGGGAGTCCAGAGAGGCCACATAAAGCTTATTCTCTACCATAACCCAATCTAAAAACACGTTAAAATTGTGCAGCAGCAGGATTCCAGTCAAACGAGTGAGTTTGGCGGTTTTGAGACATCATCTTTCATTGAAAAAAAAACTTTTTCATTTTGCCGACGCGCATGGCTACGGCGACGCGCGCGCATACCAGAAACCGGAGACTTTTTTGGGGGCCTAACAGTGTACAGTATGTACGTGGAACTCAATTATTTTGTTATCAAATCTACATTGCTAACAACTCAAACCTACAGATGCTTTCATAACTGCTGACAAAAAATCTTTAAATTAGTAATGAAGACTATTTTTGGTAAACTTAAATGCATGGACTTATATAAGGTTTGTTCAGATTTATTTTGCTCCAACACTGGCATGTGCTCCTAAATTAATCTGCATCAAACCTGGTCTTTCATCACCTGATGATAACCTTGTGTAATGGAAAGTCTTTTAACTTAGTTCTATTCTCAACATCTTGTTTTGGAACCTGAAACGTTCGTTTATGATGCCTTACCAATATAATTAAATGAAATGCAAGTATGGATCTACTGGCATTTCCATTCTTGTTTCATAGTCTGCCCATTAGAACAATCAATGAATAGATCATCCTCTTCCACTGCATACAAACAACTTGTGCATTTTTAATATTGCAAATCACTGATTTTTCTGTACACGATTAACGATACCGGAGTTCAAATCAAACACGTCATTAAATGTAAATATATCATCTGATGATTCACAAGGGCATTTCTTTTGATTTGTTTCCTCTGTATGTGATGTAATTTCCTGTTCCTTTTCTGCATCCCCATCAAAAAAGCAAATTAGTCGTTGCTTAATTGGAAACGGTACAACCCCCAAAGGGCTTCCAGCTAGTTTAATAATAGCCATATTTCTCAGAAAATCAACTCTCATTCATAACAGGCTGCCCGATACATGGATACTGGCCTAGGTCAATCTGGCCAACTCCTTCACAATAAGCCCCGAAATAGCAGCCAAATCAATCAAGCAGACTGAAAGAAACAGAAACTGGAGACGCAGTGTTTACGCACAAGTCATCCCCCAAGACACTGATGACAGTACAGGCATAGAGCTAGGGTACAAGGCATCCTGATGGGCTGTGGGACATTGGGGCCTGGGCAAGATTAAAAATTGTTCGGTGGGCCACGAGTTTGTCAAAATCGGTCAGACGGGCAAGTCCTAATGATTACATTTCTTCTGAAACTACAGTATCTATGGTATTATCTACGGCCAAAAAGAAACAGAAAGGAAGAGGAACACACGTAGGTTGGGCCACTCTTCATTTGTACAGCAAAAATGAAAATTTGTACAATTTACAGATTGTTACACCTGTGTGTTTTGTAGAAAAAGGTTCAGAGATCTATACAACTACAAGTATACACAATAGGCCTACATTAAAAGACATACATTGGAGGCTACTCAGACATAAAACTGTGGGTGGCCAAAAATGACCGAACATAAGTGTGCCCTGTTGATACAATGTAAGGTATCGTTTGGTCCAAGAATCCTATGCAGGGGATAATCCTGCCATTAGTATACATCACACAGGACTGCTAACACATTGTACACGTATGTCCAAGCATGTGCAAAGGAAACAGTGCATTACCTACTACTGGTTGGAATATGGTTACAAATGCCTGCAGGAGCAATGTGCAAACTGATCCGCACAGATACCGGGGTAATTCTAAATCCTGAACCCACTATTTGTACCTAGTTTCCTACAGGTACTCAACATTTACAACAGTACATCACACATGGCCTGCAGGAAGAGAGTTTTACATCGAAAGACATCCTTCAAAGTTATAGACTAATCCGGCGACAAATATTTTATGAGGTGGCACGGCACCAGGTTCGCGCGAGTCACACTCAGGTAGTGCGCACGCACTTCGGGCTCCTTCGACCAACCGAGTTACCAAAATGCGCGAGCGCCTTGACTTTAAGAACGCGTGCAGCATGCGTGTGACATTACCACTGCAGTAACGGCTTCTAATTCCGGTTGCAGGATTCCGCTATATACCTAGGATTCCATGCTTACAAAAACAAATTATTCATTACATTATTTATTTATTAGTTAATATTTTGGCAGCTTCCCCACCCCTTTTGTTCAAGGAAAAATCATAATTTTCATTTGAATAACATAAAACTTGTCTCTTCAACGCATACATGTACATTTGCACATTAATAGTGGGTCTCTATAAAAAAAAAACGCACAGATTGCAATGTAAACCTGGTGAGATTATTGTATCAGGTCTGTCATAATAAATTAAACATTGAGATGCATCAGTTTTCACACAGGTCCATTAAGCGAGGGAATGCCATGTGGCATGTGTTGAAGCAAAATTGCCTGTGGCAAGTGACATACCCAGCATTTATTAACGGGGTCACTCAAGTCACTCAACCCATTTCTTTTAATTAATGGCTTGAAAAAAATTCCATTTGGGACAAAAATAACAAACTGGGGAAGAGGTGCTGTGCAACAAAATAAAAATCCAACACGCTATTAAAAAATGTATGTTTCCAGGACATGCACAATGGCAGATATTACTCCATCAGAAAGTACAATATAAATGGGGCAATATTTTCAAGCAACGTAAGTCTCTGGAACTCTTGAAACAGTGAAACACAAAGGATTTTACTAAAATGTAGACACACAATCTACAGGAGTAGAGAAACAATAGTTAAATATTCCATCTGATCAAGTTTTTAAGAATCAACTTACCTGCTGTTTAAGCTTCCTCCTTGTGGTAGGCGATAACTCCACAGACTTGTCCTTGTTTGAGCGGGGAAGTGTAGATGATCCAATCTTTGCACTCAATATCCGGTTTGATTTTGAAATTGTAGGTGAGACCAGTGCATCAGTCACTCTAGAGGTGTGGGGTTCAGCTGCCAGATTTGGGGTGGACTCAGACATGTGTGCTTGCATAACTGGCCTGAGTGAGTGTCCTGGTTGAGGAGGGGGGATGATGGCTTTCTTCCGCATGGGGAACTTCCTCTCCTGAGGCTGGTGCTGGTTGGGTCCCATGCTCTGCGACCTGGTTATGGTGACCACAGGTTTACACAGAGAAGGCACGGTGGTATCGTCCACAGGACTCAAGGTGGTGGCTGGCTCACTGGCCGACCTCATGTGCTTATCCTGCTGGATCAGCGACTGCTCAGAGCTGCTTCCCTGATGCAGCAGAGTCCCAGAGGTACTCTCAGGCAACTCCTCATAGCCACTACCACCCCGGCTCCGTTTCCTCTGGATCTGGGGGGAGTGTGGACTATCTAGAGCCAACTGGAGGTTCACACGCTCCTTTCCTCCAGGTGCCAAGAGGTTCTCCGACTTTGCACGCATGTCATCCGGCTCTTCTCCCATGTGCAATTTATCTATCTCCTCCTGTCTGTCAGAAACTGTTGGACTGCTTGTGCACACCTGGATGCCTTGCGTGTACTGATCCAGTTCATTTTGGGATTTGTCTCCATTTGGCCAAGTCCTGGATTTCACTTTGGATTTTAGTTTTCCATTTCGTTCCTGTGAGTCAAGGTTCGATGAGTTGATTAATCCATCTGGGTGATGGGTAACCTCGTGCAGCACATTGATAAACTGTTGCTCTGCTGTTGTATCACTGATAGAAGTAGCCATGCTCGAGATGGACTGACTACTCTCTGTGCTGGCCACAGTAGCTCCTAGAGTGCCGGCAGGAGGTATCTGTCCATGCACTCCCTGTATCTGCAATGCTTCAAAGAACTGAGAGTCAACAGAACTCTTCTCAATATCTTCAGAAAAGCTTCCCCGTTTCCGGTCCTGCGTGGGATCGCTGCGAGAGCGTCCATTTTCACCATTGCTCCCACCACTGCCTTCAGTAACAGACTGCCCGAGGGCACTGAACTTCTTTCGTCTTTCCTTCTTACGAGTGCTTGCCAACAGCAATTCATCAGACGTTTCTTCAACCATCGTATCCATAACTGGTGAGGAAACAGGTGTATTTTCACTTTGCCTTTTCACATTCAGTGGTCTCAGAGGAGCTTTCAAGTTAAACTTATCCATAGGGGACAATGAGGATGCCTGTGTACCATCACTGACTTCTTTATTCCTTGCTAAGAGGACTTCAGGCAGCTCTGGTATGACCATCCTGTTTTTTCGTCTTGGTCTCGGCAAAGACTGAGTTGCTGTTGGCCAGTCAAAGTCCCGTACACACCCCTCGTCTTCTCCCGGCTCTGACGCTGGAGACATTGGGCGAGTGTAATCCCCTTGTGGAATGTCCGTGTATTCCTGCTTGCGATTGCGCATTTTGTTCGTCAATTTTTGCAATGTTCTGACAGGCGACGTTGGAGCACTCATGCTAGAAAGGCCTTTGTCAGATGCCACCTTCTTAAGAGTGGCAGGTCGTGACTGTGATTTCAAGTTCTCAACACTTCCGATCTTTAAACTATTAAAATCCATGCGTAGTGTCAATTTGGTTCCACCAGACTCTGACAGCTGGGGTGAGGAAGGATCAGAGGCAGAGGTCGGAGAATCCTGATTTCTGGCCATTGTGCGACGGACATTATCCACTTTCAGTGGATTACTTTGGCCCGGTCCATGAGTTCCACTCCAATCTCTGTATCGTGATGTTGCAGTGTTATTTTGAGTACTCAAAACAAATGCTGATACAAGTCTGGCCCTATTTTCTGCAACACTTGATCCCTCACTTTGATCAACTGTGCCAATACTTGACACGCTCGACCGACGACTAGAATATGGTGAACTCACAGGACTCTGCAGCTCATCAAAAGAAGTGAGATTTTTCTTGGTGGTCTTGGTCAGTCGCTTGACTGCCAGCGGTTTGAAAATTTGCCTGGTTTGACCAGGAGATGTGATTCCAGACTCTGAGTATGCTGAACTGCTGACTGAATCTGGCGATTGGGGGCTAGTTATAGGTGGTGATGTGTTGACTTTAGAGTGCACATTACCTTGACTGTAGCCCCTCTCTGTGGGGCTTTGTTCATGCTGCATAAATGCACCAACCCTCCTCGCAACAGCCCTCCTTTCTTGAATGCTCGCCGGCGACTGTCCCCGATGCACAGTCCTGCTTTCCACTGATGAAATGCCCCTCGAATCACGGCCAGCAGAAGCCGAGGTTGCGGTGCCGAACAGACCCGTCTGCACTGTTGTTGTTGTTACAGGACTTGATGCACGATGTCTGTACGATGTGTCCTTGTTCTCCTGCCGAGACAAATCCCCGGCTAAAATCCTATTACTGTATTTAGATCCGCCGCCGGCTGCTTGGGTCTGGCGGCTGTTACCACCGATGATATTCCAAGCATGTTCCTTGTCCTTTCCGTGTTCCACTGGCACGTTGGACTGCTTATTGGATAATGCTAATGATGGCTCTGCTGCACCGTACGACGATTCAATTGCCGGCTGGCGATCTTGGTTCCTACTCACATGGTCATGACTAGTGTTGCTGCTGCGGTGATGTCCCCGTGCACCACGATGCAAATCCTCGGCAGTAGTCGAGCCGCAACTACTTCCCGTGCGTGTATTGCCCACAGCACGAGGAGAACTAGGTCTGGTGCCCAAGTCCTTATTAAATTGCCGGTGATGGCTGCTGCTGAAGCTGCTTTCGCGATCACTGCCCGGGTTAATATGGCCTCGATCACCGTCCGAAGTCTCCGTGAGTTGGGCGATTTTCAGCTGAACGCTGTCCCTGGTGCCGGCGCGAAATCCCCCCTTGCCTCTAGCTGTCGCAGACGAATGTGCCATGCTGAACGCGGACCGTGGCTGTCATGGCAAGATAAAGTGTTTACTCGGGCTGGCTGACGTCTTTTTAAAAAACACACCAAGATTGATGCAAGATAGCCCCGTACCCTGCTGAGGATTTAGAGGATCTTACAAAGTAAATCCCCCTCGCATTGTCGTCTTTAGTGGAAGTTTGTCATAGCGTTGATGAAGTTGAAAGTCGAGTGGTCGACCCTATCATGTGTAACGCTTGTCACTTGGCTGGGTTAGTTTCCACCACATAATCATATCCATTGTATGCTTGCATGGGGCGAAAAGAACATTTCACAAAGTTTACAAAGTAGAGAAAAGGAAATGTGTCTCAAAGGAAACAAATAAATCCGGCATCACAAAATCGGGCGAGCGTTACAGAATCACCCAAGTTGAAATAATACTAGTATTAATATAACAGTACAGCTCCACACGTTTTCCAAAGTAAAGTTCCGAATCACTGCCCACGTCGGTGTAGAGTGCTTTTATGTGTACCCCCGACACAGGTACAATAACAAAGTGAGCGATCGAAGTGCACCCATCCAGCTTGCGTGTGTTCTATCACACTCCCCATTGTCACGCACGTTTTGCTGTACAGATAAATGCTCCTCCTATATTGTGTTAACAAAAGCGGCGCACGTGTTTGTTCGGTAACAGCACAACCAAGTTTACGTCGCGACTTAGGAAAAAGATTACCACACTCCCCTTTGACCCGCCAAAAAGAAACTCATCACCAAAACATCACATGCAGCCAGGCTGAAGTATCCAGAGAGTGGAGTCCATAAGGATGCGTGTAGGATACTCAAGGCTACCCGTAGCTTGTCCAAGGTCTGGCTGTCGGTCTGAAGGGAAGATGCGGCAATGAAAGAATGTGAGGTGAGGACAAACTATTCCTTCATCTCCTTATCCATCTCGCCTGACCACAACTCAGGACGGCCTGCTGAGTAACGGACCAATTGCATCACAGCATCCAAAGCCGGGGATAGTCTAAGAAAGGAGAAGAGTGCGCGAGAGATTTTTTAAGACATACGTCAGAATTTACAGTTCGGAATGCATTAATCTTGAGCACTTTTGATGAAATATAAACGGAGGGAATTTCTCAATAAATCATGCTGACACGCGACCGGTCGTCCCGCGACTCGATCGGCGGATCGTGCGTAGGTCACTTGGCGGCTGGACTAACTCTGTGCTGCTCCAGAGAGAGAGAGAGAGAGAGACGCATTCTTTTTATGTGCTGCAATCTCCGGCGGTTTGCACGAATGAAGATGTGTTTATTAAGAGCACTGAATCAAAATAGCCCGCGTATGTTGCTCTTTTCAGCCGGCCAAAAATTCCTGGTTGTTAATTACACGGTTCGAAATCGTCAACTGTAGAATGCCATGCGACTGTACTTGAAGAGCCTCATACAATGCACAACCGACGTTCAGTGGTAATTACATTTTTTGCCCCTGTGCTGATCTACAAAGAAAAACTCATCTCTCGCGGGAGGGATTTGGGGAATATGAATAATTGGCGAAAGAGCAAAGTCCGCTGAAATCGTTCATCCATGGGTGCTTCTGTGCCGTCTTCGAGATGTTGGCTCGTCACGATCGTCTGACCATGAGCAAGGCATGATCTTTTTATTACACCGCCATCTTTGTATATTTTAAAGGTGTTTTTTCCTTCTATTTTTAGGGAGCAAAATCCGATTAGGTTGTATCTATAGTTCTGTATCCTGAAGATGCCTTTGGAAAAGACGTTTGTTTGCAAATGGTGAGGCGCAAACATCCGGCAAACGAATCATTTACCCTAAAATATGAAATAAAATAATTTCAATTTCAAAAAGGCCTCACCGAAATGTGACATTTAGAATCATTTGTGACAGCTTAAAGTTGTTGCAAGAGGATATAAGCGGGAGAGATTTTAATCAATCAATTTAATTAACTACATGTATTTGATTTCTGCAATTTTTTTTCTCAAGTGGAATTATAAAGTTTTGTTGGCCTTAACATATTTTGGTACAAAATCGGTATTCAAATCCTTCGTGCCAATGTAGTGATAGAGTTAGACTAATGTCAAGTGGGACCGGAGGCTACAAGGCTCGTATTTTGGCGTTCAATGAACCGATCATCATCCACGATTACTGCTTCAGCTTGTTTACATGTCACATGCTTCAGGCAAAACAGCAAGACAAGTCGAAGTCACACGCACAAACTTATCCTACCGATATCTTTTTTTGTTTGACGGCGCGTGTGAGAAGAGGATCTTCACCGCAAGGGGGCGCACTGTCAATTATTTGGAGCAGACTTGTTTTCCCATAAGATAATAGCTAGCCCTATGTGATATTGTTTTAATAACATTGGATTATAAAGCTTTCATAATTCATAACCATTGTTATTTCAAAGAATGAGTTGACTTGGTAAATCCACAGTCTTCATCTGTAGTCCCTTCTTTCTTTTTCAGAGCAACATCACATAATCAAGACAAAATTTCAAAGCTTATTAAATTAAGCAAAAGCCAAAATAGTTTCCAACCCCGTTTTGCATATGGATACTGTCCCTTACCATATCTTAACCGTCCCTGAGTTCAAATCACCCATTTCACCCTGGAGTCTTGTCCGTTTGATTGGCAGTCTAGATTCAATGAAAAACGCCTTGAAAGCCTGCAAATCGCCCGGCCCTGGGTACTTGTGTGTCCCTGGCGAGAAAACTCCAACAAAAGTCAACCAGATGAACTCCCGTAGAGGTTTACAAGTTCCCCGCCTTATTATACATTCTCTGATTATTACAATCATAACAAGCAACCCCAAAACAACAAACTCCGGAAACAAATTTTCAACTGATTCAGAATTATGAAAGAAATAAACAAAGATAGAGAGGATTGGTGTTTTTTTTTGAGTGACTTCCGGAAACCCATGTCAACAGCAGTGACCTCCTTGAACGGAATAATAATAACAATGCTGTAATAGACATAAAAGCGCATGTGACCAAATCAAACTGTATTCCTTCGGGTCCACCACGGACTGAGAAACCTTTGGCCCAAAGCAATCGCCACTTGGGAGATATCATACGTCAATCATCGAAAAACAGAGAATAAATTATCCCCGTTAATTGTGACTTCCGACCTAGCCTTGAAATCATAACCGGGAACAAAATCTGGTCAACTTCTATGCATCTGGACCTAATGTTACTTATAATAAGATTTGAAGGTTTGTATGAGACGTTTTACGGTTGCGCCAATGTAACAAAATAATTTCTAGTTTGGAGGTTCTGAAACTGAAGAACCGGGAAACTCATTGTTCCCAAATTGCTCATAGCATGGAGGTAGAATTCTACCTCCATGCTCAGTCATAGTAACAAGTTTTTATTTGGAGTTTTTGTATGGTTTGCTGAGTTTGAGTCTGGTGTTATGGTTGCTTATTGTCAGTAGAAGTGCTCGGGGAAAAAATATTAAAAGTACTATGGGAAGAATGGATAAAGCCTGCACATGCGAAGACAAGAGGCAATGACAGAGGGAATAATGATATTATTATGTCCTCATTTATGTTGTGATCTTGTTAGCCAAATAATATTGTGGAGATACTGTTCATATGGATTGCGGAAAGGAGCTGAATACTGGACCAAAAGTTAATTATAAAACCATAGTATAAAGGGATGCAACCACAAAACTCGGGAAGATACTGAACAAAGTTTCCAAAAAACACAACACCCCAAAACAATAATCAACCATTGCTAGTACAACCCAGGGCGGATCCAGGAATTTTCGCTGGGGGGGGGGGGGGGGGGGGGGGGTCATCAGCAATAATTCTGAAATGTGGACAGGTTTTATTTCTCCGGACACTTGGCATCCGAAAATCAATAGGTGGTGGGGGGGGGGGGGTGTTGACACCCAAAACATCCCTTCTGCATCCGCGCCTGCAATTCCCAAGATGCCAGAAATAAAAGATCAACATGTGATTCGCCGTCCACAAGGCTACCAATACTGTACTATTAAATGACCTTGCGGTTATACAAGCGCAAATGACCCGCTGCCACTTTTCTGTCACTCCATCCTACCCTTCAAACTGGCCCTCCAGTCACCCGGAAAAAAAACCACGGCCCCAATTAATCCGCTTGTTTACTGTGTGTATTTATAGTTACAGTCCGTCTATATTTAGCTTTATGTTTTCTATTTTTAGTTTAGCAAACAAAAAGGTGTGTTCGTTTATTTTGTGTGTATAATTAGCACAGAGCTTTTTTAACGTTTTTATAGGAATGCGTGAAGTGAACCAGTCGCCTACATGCAAGGGTATAGACTGGTTCCCCCCCAAAAAAAGAGAAGAATCGATGATGGAGGGCCAGAAAAACTGACGGTACTCACTGTACTTTTTTCAGCGTTCTTTCCTCACTTTAGCATTGTCTCCCCCGAGTATGGTTGATCAAGGATTTTGAGGTACTTTTGGCATCTTTATTACTTAACACCTCATGCAGGACTTAAACACAAATGCTATGATGAGAAAAAGCAGACCTTTTTTGCGGGGGGGGGGGGGGGTATTTTGATAGTAATGGTATTATGATTGTGAAACATGATCATACGTATTTATGTTCTTGTCTTTGCTGGTGTTTATGAGGGCTCAACTTTACTGATTATTAATTTTAAAAAGGAGGGAAAAAAGAAAATCATTTGAACGGAATATACAGTGTAGTTTATAATCGCATTCATCAATATTTACTGTCAATGCAATGCTGTTTTCTACAAAACATCAGTCCGCCCGGTGAGGGACTCGAACCCGCGACCCTCAGATTAAAAGTCTGATGCTCTACCGACTGAGCTAACCGGGCTCGCCATAAGATGGGTAATAAGGTGTTCATATTCCAGTGGGTATATTACACAACACCACACCATCATCTGCGCGCGTGTTACTACCACTGCCAGCTGAGCCCGTCTTTTGTTCAAGGCACGAAGTACATGTACATGTACCGTGAGCTTCGTGTACATGTACATGTACACGTACATGTCCACGAAGCTGCACCACACCATGAGCATGATGACAATGGTTACCTTGGTAACCTGTCCCTGTGTTCTTCCCGACCTCGATAGTCCCAATTTCCCACATGTTTCCACATGTTGCGGATACATGGCGGGCTGACGTTTCAAAACTGTTGGGTGCGGGGACATCCGGGATTTATTATTAATTTTTTTTTACAGTTTTATCTAGTTCCCAGACCTGTATTCTTGAAACTCAGTGATTCTTGACTCTGGAGTGCTGAATGGTAACACAGTGATGTTTTCATAGGATGACGTCACTCCGCCCCGATCTATAAACAATTGACTTATTAATTGGGGGGGGGGGGGGGGTAAGCAAAGTAAAGTATTCATTCATACCATGACTAGGATATAAGAATAGTATTTTTTTTCTGGGGGGGGGGTGTTCGAAGGGGTGTCTAACTGTCTATCCCAGGCTTTAAGCGTTGCTTGTCTTCTCAACAACTTAAACGTCTCTTCCAGGGAGGAAAATGGGCTAGCAAAGTTCCCCCTCCCCCCCCATCCCCAATTACCGTCCTATTTCTTCAGTTTTAATCATCATCCCCATGCTAGTCTCAGGATCAGACATTGACGTGTATACAGAGCAAGGGGATATTCCATAGACTACACAAACCCAGACGTCGAGCGAGATTTATGATCTTGACGCTGATTCTTTCATTTTCCCCGGCAATGGCTTTTTGTTTGAGTCTCTAACTTCCCGGTCTATTTTGGAGTTTCACCTCGAAAAATATATATATATTTTTCCTAGCAATAAAAAGTTATTTACGTTTGAATGAAACATTAAACAAAAAACATCGACATAACTTATTGAATATTATTTCTTTTAAAAATTAATTCAATTATTGGCTGCCAGACAATTATCGTAATTAAGGAGAAAACAAAATTCTTTTTAAGAGTATTTTAAATAGTTGTCGGAGCCAGTTGGTGGCGCTATTCATATTTAACGGTTACCTCGTCCTGCTCGCACTGTACCTGCACACCACTGATCTCTATTATCGTGACGGGGGCCTAAAAAGGTTGATTATCCTATTTTCCCGACTATGCGATGGCTTTTTGGGATTTTTTTTTAGTAACAAAACAAATGCCTTGTGAATTCGATAGTTTAGGAACCAATTTCAATTCGGAAATTCCTAAAGTTTTGCTGTGCGGCCCACATGCAATACATTATTTAGTAGACGGCCTATTGGTGGCGCTATTCACATTTAACGGTCATCACCGGAACCACACCAGTCAGGTGTTCGGTCCTTCTCCTGCACACCTGTCTGCAAAGGCTTGCATTACTTATCCGTATAATCGCCGGTATCTCGTGACCGGGGGCCTGAAAAGCTCTCTACTGTCATGACTGTGTGGTTTGTGTATATAGCAAGTCAGAAATTGAACTGAAAACTGATTTTTCTTTCCTAATCGTGGCTCGGGCTTAATTCAGAGTAAGGCCAGTGACTGATGAGCTGATGAGTTGTCCTTCAGATCACAAAAAACAAACTTGACACTTTAAGTTAAATCTAAAACTTTGATTTATCAATCCAGTCTGCGTATTGTAATGGCAGTGCTTATGAAATGGAGCTCCCTTGGTGTGTTGATGCTGATGGTTGTCCTTCTGTCATGCTTTACAGGGTCATCTTCAGGTAGGCAACATTTCCCCAGCAATATTTACTTCTTGAACTAGTACTACGAAGGAGCCCAGTTGTAGGCAAAACTAAAATATAGTGAAACAAACAGCCTTTTAATGTTAGTGTAATATGTCAATGCTCTCAAGTTGTAACATGGGTCTGAAATTATTCATGGTTGTAGCCTACTGTAGCCCTATATTTATGACATTATTTTATGATTCAATGTGAGCACTAACGTTGAGCTCAAAATGTAATTGATATCCCCCCCCCCCCAAAAAAAAGGACAAATGTATTTAAGTTTCAATTTTCGTGCAGCGTACTTTCAAAGTGGACAGTGTATAAGTCTAATAACCAAATATTTCCTTTCGATATAGATGCACATGACGTTAAAACAGATGCTGATGGCAAAGCATTCCTTCTGGACGAGCAGGATGATTTCACGTGGGACGACTTGTCCAGTGACAGCGCCAAGAACAACACTGGCGTTAGTTCCACCGCAGTAGGTTTCATTGGAGCGGCCGTGGCAGTCTTGTTCTTTGGCTCCAACCTGGTCCCCATCAAAAAGGCAGACACCGGGGACGGTAAGCATCCAATTTCTGTCAAATTGTACGTCATACTTGGTTGGATTGCTAATAATAATTGACTAGCTCAGATTTGGCCATAAGCCCTGACTGCCTTTGATCTCAGAATGCTTGTGACTGTGGCTTTGTTTCAGTTGCACCAATAGTATCCGAACATTCCCTGAGCGTTGGCCAGTGGTGTTCGGCAAAGCGGAACCGCTTTGGGCAACTAAGCCATTGTCAAAATGGCGGTGTCCAGTGAATCCGTGTGGCTAGCAGCCTACAAGATTCTTCAAGAATTAATGTCGAGTGAGTGTGAAGTTTAGCCAGTAATATATTTGGGATCATTGGGGACCATTTGGAGGGATTCTCAAGGATTATCCCACAGCTGTAAAACATTAGTAACCCCTACTGAAGTATAACATTTAGGCCTGTACAATGTAGTTGCATCGGCCATTTTGAAAACATTAGCGAATGTCTCTAAAAGTCGTTCGCCTTATGTTTGTTGGCGCACAATCTTTTTGCACTCGCTCTTCTTGCATTCGCTGGAGTAGAACGCAAGTCATGTTTTGGCCAAACTGCCGTGGTCACGTGACCAAAAGTTGTGATATAATTGGTCAAAATACACTGTTTGATTGACTGAGAGTCAATCAAGAGAGAGCATTTCCCCAGGAATTATGGGGCCTGGGGATGGGGGGTTGGGGGGGGGGGGGGCGCTGGAAACAGTCTGACATTCGCACTTGGTGTTGTTCTTTCTAGCTTGAATGTATTCAAGGTTTGCGTCTGTTAATTGTTATGGGTTTGATATCATTGCTTATTATGTACAGGGATGTTTTACCAGTGGATAGACGGCATAGCAATATGGCAGGTGGGATTGATTGTCAACCTGGTGCGTGGCTCTCCCCCATTCTATCCCCTGGCTATGCTGGGAGGCTTCCTATGGACCACAGGTAAGAGCAGGGCCCAATCAATGCAGCTGCGAAGCAGATAAATATTGGTAAACATAAAGGCCGGATCGTACTGGCGGTTTTGTGGTGTCACATCAAGTTTTTCATGCTGCAAACTTGCAACAATTGAACACATTTGAATTCCGATAACAAAAAGGCATGGACCAGTTATTAGAAATTTATAGTAGAGGACATTGTTTGATTGGTAAGCTGTTTTTGATAACAGTGTTGTCTATGCTTAGTTTAGCACCTCTGTAATATTGTCCTCAGATCCACTGCTATTTGCCAAGGTTTATGTGGTCTGTGTATAACAGTTGAGGGCGCTATAAGGTCTATTCTTATGGGCACTCTATTCTTGAGTGCCATTGTCGATGAGTGGCCTATACCCGAGAACTTTCCTTCAGATGAAATTTTGTGGACCATCAGTTCTTGGAACCATTCTGTACCAACCCAAAGAGGTAGCTTTGCATAAGGCAATGCAGATAGTCTTCCTGGTAATCTGCTGTCCCCACCACGCAACGCTTCAAATCCTGATGTTATATTATAAGAGCTGTTTTCTGAGTAATGTTGTGGGGCTTGTGAGAAAAAGTCACAAGCTTTCCGGGGTGAAACCTAGGACTTCTGATTACTAGTAGCGCAGACGTCTTGACCACCATGCTGTCCAAAATCGGCTGATAAATTTAAAATTTATTTAGCTTTTCTCATTCTGTTTCTTACATCTTTAACTCTCTTCGTGTCGTTGTTCAGGCAATGTGACGGTGGTTCCAATCATCAAGACTATAGGACTCAGCTTAGGTATTCTCATCTGGGGCTCGTTGAATCTCCTCACGGGATGGGCCAGTGGACAGTAAGTTCTTTTCTTCTCTTCTTATTTCTGGACTCGTAAGGGAGTTTGAGAAGTAATGCTCTGTGTCCTCCACACGGAGTTAAAATATAGCACAGCAGCGAAGCCACTACGCATGACTCCACAGAGGATGCTCGCTCTTTCTAAGAATACACTGCACGCTCATTTGTCAAGTCATATTAGCATAAGGCCAGTTGATACTTCACGTTGATACCGTACTGTGAATGTGAGCAAAATTTCCCAGCGAATTTACCTGGAGTTGAAATATATTCAATTTTTTTTTTTTAGCAAATTCGCAATGCAATTAAAGCCTGATTTTGCATTTGCATCTGCGCTGAATATGAACCGGGCCAATTGTCCAAATTATCTATAATCAAATCATGCAATTAAAAAAAATGGCTTCTCAGCTTTAGCCCGTTTTTTTTTACAGTAACCCCCCTTCCAAAAAATTGTTTGAATGACTACGATTCCTGTATGGTCTGCAGTTTCTACACAGAGTTGCACAATTATTTCCGTTTCTTCAAAGTTTTCTGCGAGTTGTTTTTTAATGAAATATTATATCTCATTCCATTAATACTTGTTATGTTCGGGTCCTTCTTAGTTTTGGACTCTTTGGCATCAACAAAGATAAGCTACACAATCCGGCATTCAACTACATAGGAGTGTCACTTGCAATGCTAAGGTGAGCTTTGGAAGAACATTTTGGTCAAAAATCAGCTTGTTTTTTTTTTCTCAAGTTAAACTTGTGCAAGTTTAACTTTATTGGCAACTTATAAATACCTAAAAGACAGTTAACCCATTCATATTGGTCAAGAGCCCGTCATGTGGGTGGTTTTGAACCATTGATAAAACACCGGCTGGTTTAAACACTTCATTCCCTGCACTGCTGCATTCTGCGCCACATCACGTAGTACTTGCCGAGTGTGCCAGTCTCCATAAAAGGACACTCGCAAGGCACGTGCCTGAGACATGGCCAGAGAGGTGTTTCACCAAAGAGGTAAAATGGTTTACAGAATCGTGACTTGTTTTGATTTTTTGAACAAAAGGTGTTTATGAATGGGAATAAACACCTGCTCGGCCAATAGTAAACGAGTCGCCTTCGACGCGGGCCATTATTCGTGTCAAGGCAGGCTGCAAGACGGTTTTAAACGTACTATTTTGACATTTCAAGTTTCTTTTCTACAGTGCTTTTCTATATTTTTTTTTTTTCAAGTTACAAAGAAGTGTTACGTTCAATGTTACATGAAACCTTAACTACTTGAGTTTCATTTTTGTCGTAGTGCTGTGTTATTTCTTCTGGTGAAGCCGGAAGTAAGCAAGGCAGCGCCCTCGCTTGACGATGAGCAAACCAATCTTGTCGATGACGTGAGTGAAAATTCCTTTCACAATCCCAAACTTTTTCTTGTTTTGTGTGTTCCTTTCGTACATTCTGATATGTTCAGGATAGTCGTACTGCTTTTCATAAGGCCCACTGTCCTGACCGAGCCAGTAGATGAATCGAGAGAAACATACGTTGCCCATGACGATTCACAACACTTACAAACAACACCTCTACTGGCTGATACCAGACAGAAGGTATTTTGTTTTTGGGCCATCTGGTTGCCATGGTTACATTCCTCTTTCCTGGCCAACTCACTTTGCGAATCATTTCACGATCGGCACCTCAGGCTTCGCAAATATCCCATTTCAATTGTTACATTTTAGAAAAAAATTCATTGTTTAAATCTCTTCATTGCATCAACAACATTTTGTATACCTTCAGTATAACATCGTTTGAATCACGCAAAAAAATCTACAATTTCAAAAGTCCATCATTGATGCAATCATACCTAGTGTACTTATTTTTACAGGGAACATGGAAACACACACAAACAAATAAAGATAATGGAACAAGTAACAAGTAAATTAACAAAACGAAGATAACCAACAAGTAAGCCGACAAAGAAACTAACATAACAGTTGCCTCTCCCATTGCCTCATGCCAACAACAACAACAACAACAATGACAACAACAACAACCAACAACAACAGCAACAAAGTATTCAAAGGTAGAGTATATAATTTGTCATTTTTGCATTTTTTTGTTTGAAGCAACAAAAGCGCTCAAAATCTAAAGAAAGGTGCTTTACAACTAACCTGGTGAAATTTTAGCTCAGTGAATGCCGTATATTCCGAGTAAACAATATTCTAGGATCTCGATTTCAATTCAAATGTTCCCCGGACACATTCTCAATCAGCCAATTGCAGCTACATGATGTCACACGCTGAACTGACGAATAATAGCAACCGCGCGCGTATGCGTCTTATCAATGCTTGCGTGCACCCATTCACGGCTAAATTAAACATGAACTACTAACGCAAATTTCCAAAAAATGCATCACTTGACGTATCTTTGGAAATGACCTTCCTTTATTGTTTTCATTAAATTGACAGCATGCCAGAGAGACTAATTTCATAGGGAGTTACTTTTTGGATAGCTGCGAATGATATACTCAATCTTTTAAAATGCTTGAAAATAACTTACATAATTATACTCGGACACGATTATTTTGGTAATGCAGCCAAATTTGTGGGCTCAAAATCCACTTCCCCTTGCCTTTCACTACCCCCCTCCCCTTTCAAACCCAACCCCCTCTCTGGTACCATCCATTTGTGATGCGATCAAGCTAAATGAGTCATTTGTCGACCCTGGTCAATTTTTCTTTTTTTTACAGATTTGAAAAGAGCACAATCTCAGCATTACTGCTGTGAAAACCACATGCTGATACCATCTTTAGTTAAAAAATTATGGAAGTCGGAACACCAAGAGATGTGATGAAGTGATGTGATGAAGTGGCCCTATTTTGGCCTGAATCTCCAAATGAAAGTTCCCGACAAATGACTTATTTAGCTTGATCACATCACATTTGTTCTGACCTTTCATGTGTTTTGTCATATAATCTGTTTTAAAGCAGTCTGACAGTTCCAATGCTGTATATACCCCCATCGAACGGCCGAAAGATTCCTCCTGGGTAGATAAGCTCTCGCCGCTTCAGAAGAGAGTCGTGTAAGTGTTTGAAATGTACTCACATTGTTTATTTGATGTGTAACTGCTTTCAATGTTTTGTTTTTCAATTTTGTTACATTGAGTTGTTCCATTCGAAGATCAGAGATACTCCATTTTCACTTTACCTAATTTTTGTTCAGTCAAAAGTAATCTGTCTTTTTCTGGGTTGCGTTTCCCCCTCATTGCTTTGAAGTAGTACAGAAGTGCAGAGCATGAATTTTTTGGGGGAAAACAAAAATTGAAACTGTTGACAATACGAATTGACCATAAGCTTGTTTGGTCTAAATTTACACATAGAGGTGTGGTCATGGCTATTTTTGCTGGATGTCTGTATGGCTTCAACTTTGTACCGTGTATCTGGGTTCAGGATAACGTAGACGGTGCCAGCCAAAATGGTAGGTGGAATTTCATTCTCATCCAAACCTATATTTAAAGATATAGTCCATCATTTGTAAATTGTGCATTTTGTTCGTTTGAAGCAACAAAAGTGTTCAAAATCTAATGAAGGATACTGAACAACTAACCTGATGAAGTTTCAGCTCAGCTTCAGCTGTATATTCCGAGAAAAACAGCATTCTAGGATCTCAATTTCAAATCAAAAGTTGCTGAATCATGTTTTGAATTGTTTTGAATTGCAGCTATACGCGATGTCGCGCACTGATCCGACAAATTATAGCAACCGCGCGCGCCTGTGCGTCGTGCCAATGCTTGCGTGCGCTGCGCCAAATAACAAAACAAAGTACTAATTTAAATTTTCCTACGGTGCGTTGATTACTTCAAAATGACAGCTTCCCAGAAAGATTAATTTCACAGGGAGTTTAGTTCACTTCCTATCTTTTAACCAAGTATGTTTTGTAATAATAATACGCCAGTTACTTTTTCGGATGGCTGCAAATGATGGACTATAGCTTTAACTCCACGTTTATGACGTTTGTTCTAACATACCAAGGACCTCGTCATTGACACCATTAACTGACACTCGGTGGTCCCCGAGTTTTCTTGGTTACTCGTGCGCCGTTAGTAGCACCTAATTTTGGTTTTCGCAAAGTGACAACCCACGAGTCGTATTCCCAAAAACTACACTCACAGTGAATTCTGCATCCTGACCAATCACTGCATTTGTGGTATCATGACATTTTGGAGCTGGCCTTGACATAGGTTGTAAACTTAAATTTCATATGTTGATATAACTTTGCATGATCCCATATTTTTTTGGCCTTGTGTAAATATTTCCTGTCTCACGATATTCCACTGTTTTGGTTCTGTTTTACGCTAGTACCGACCTTCTATGTAACTAGGCCAAGCCCTGAGAAATATAGCTCAATTAACCATAATCCACACCATAAATCCACACCCCAGACGCACGTTAATTTGTTCCGTTGTCATAGGTTTCTCCTTTAACTAATCCTGCAATATTAAACCATTTTGCCCCTTTTTGTCTTTTCAGGATTGGATTACGTCTTTGCTCATTTCTGCGGCATCTGCCTGACGTCGTCCGTGTACTTCATGCTGTACTGTATCTACATGCGCAACCGGCCTCAGATCGGTGTGGGTGTAGTCATTCCCAGCGTGGTCTCGGGCGTCATGTGGGGCATCGCGCAGTCTGGCTGGTTCATTGCCAACTTCAACCTGTCCGAAAGCGTTAGCTTCCCCATCATTACCACGGTAAATCAGGCATATGTGATAGCTAGGCCAGGTTGAATTTCTCAAACATTTCTTCATTTGTACCCATGGTCTATTCACACATTAGTACCCCCTCTACACTTTCAAAGGAAGAGTTTGGGGAGACCATTGGGAGGAACTGTTGAGCGCATTGCCGATGGCGCCTGACGCTCCCGCAAAGAAACTCAATGCGTTGTCCTCTTGTCCTCTGATGTAATTATAAAATGCAACTGCACTCACATGCGGTGTTCCCGAGAAGGGTAGCTGTGAAAAGTTTTTCAGGTTGGCAATCTACAGTAAAGTAAAGTAGAATCTGACATGAGCCAATGTGGCCAATCAGGCTGGCGTTTATCTCCGGTTTCCTTGGCATGAAGCGACTGAGAATATTGCTTTTCCCCCTGAATGGGATGCAAGTCCATCGCAGGTTACTCCTCAGCTAACGCCGGTACCCATTTATACTCCTGGATGGAGAGAGGCAAGTGGGGTGAAGTGGTTTGCCCAAGGACACAATGGCGAGCAGCTGGATTCAAACCCCTGACCCTCTGATCATGAGTCGCGAACCCTAACCAAAAGGCCACACTCCCCCCACTCCCCCGAGCTACAGAACGCTATTAAAGAATCCTTGGTTTCTTTACCATGAATGATAATAATACATTACACTCACTGCTCTCTCTTCCTGAAGGGTCCCGGCATCATAGCATCCCTGTGGGGAGTGCTGCTGTTTGGTGAGATCCGCGGTGTCAGGAATCTCCTTGTCCTGGGGCTTGCCTTCGCCATCACCATCACCGGTGCCGTCTTCACTGCACTTTCCAAATAACATTCGAATAAATAAATCACAAAGGGATACTGACTAGGTGTATGATATACTAATTTTAAAGTTGAACAAAGCTTTATCTTTCTGAGTGATCCTGTTTGCTATTTCTCATGTTTGCAGCATTGTTCCTGCACAGGTTGGGCGTGATCGCTGGCTACATGACATATACGGGTATATGGCTTCTGACTAGTGCCGCTTGAACAAAGACATTGACAAAATTTGGAAACCACCAACATATGGCTGGATAGCTCAGTTGGTAGAGCACCGGAACGGCAATCCGGAGGTCGCAGGTTCAAACCCCACCCCAGTCAATTGCTTTGTTCAAAAATATTATCCAATTATTTGATAGCTTCTGCTTTGTGATGAATTATAAAGATAAAAATACAAGCCAGTTCTTGTTTTACCAAAATGGAAAGTATTTTTGACATTGCAAAACATTCAGAGAGAAATTGGCCGGAGTGCAAATGAATTCAACGGTGTGTGATTTATGTACATGTACATATTCCTTAAGGCCACAAGAAATTGTCTCATTTGAAACTTTTTATGAAAATACCTCTTTTTATATCAAAGTCATATATTAGGCCATGAATTTCTAAGATGTCTGCCAAGAAACTCCTGACGGTAAAACTTTAAAAGTTGTTGAATAATGTTTCATTTAAATAACAAATTATAATTGTTTCAATCTATAAATGATATAAATATATTACATATTTAAAAAAAGACAAATTAAGAGGGCAATTTTCTCAAGACTGTATTATACAATGTAAATGCATAATACTAAACGTCAACAGTATTATAAGTTCCTTCTTGCAGTAGTATTTGTGCACGGGTGCAACTTTGTTATATTTATGACGAATGGGGAATTATGTATTCTAAAATATAGGAAGGGGCAGATCATGTTGGTTCATCATTAAATTGTTTGTAAGTTTCTTAATATCACTTTTGAAAGGATTATCCAGACTTGTACTTGCCACCCAAATATGCACTATACAGTGAAATCTCGATAAGTCAAAGGCTGATAACTCAAAACAACTGTTAAGTCAAACAAAGAATCCATTGCCTTCAGTAGTATAACAATGATATACAAACTCTTCCTAAGTCAAATTTTGAACTTGTTCCTTTGAGGTTTGACTTATCGAGATTTCACTGTACTGAAAGTCTGTAACCAAAGTATTTGCTTACGGTGCTTATTCAGTAAAGGTTGTTTTGCCCAAAATGACTCAACAAGACAAAGGACGAGCCTTCGGGAAAGCTGTTCCAAGAGTGCAAATAGTTCTATTCAGTAAGCCAGTTCAGTAATTTCAACTACACTGCGCACAATGATCTGGGTCTCAGGTCATTCTGTATAATCAAATGCTCATCAAAGGCGCATGAGCGTGCAAGGAGACGGTCGCATGACGCTCGCGTGTTAATTACGAGCAGAATGTGCCTTCGTGTAGCATCGCATAACATCGCGTCAGCCATTTTATCCCAAATGACCTTTGACCTGGACTACTTCATCGAGACACTGAACTGACTTATTGCCAACTATTCACTGGAAGTCGTCTCATGCATCAGTGTACACAATGGGCAGGACTTAGTCCATTCATTGACATTACGGGGTAATCCTATACAACAGCACTGCCCGACTCACAAATGACAGTCAGTCAGTGAGTCGATCAGTCTGTCAGTCAGTCAGACACTAGACTGTCCCTCTGGGACCAGCAAACACACAGACATGCACAAACAAACAAACACACATCACAAAACAAAAACAATTTCTTCAGAAGCGGGTATATCATACAAAAATATTCATAAAATGTACATTTTGTACTTCGAAAGGCTGATTATAAATATTCTTCCAAATTGACATTTCTATATTCTTTGTGGTGGTTTTCCTCAGAAAAAAATTGTCTATTTTTGTAAATTCATGAACTACCTTAAAATTGACTGCCAGTACTATTTTAATTGATTTTTTTTTTTCAGTGTGACTTTTTATTTCATAACCTTCAAATATTTCTGGCTATTGATATAATTGTAATTGTGTTGATATTTTAATTAACTTTGTTGGAAGGAATTATTTGTAAATAATTCAGTTGATGTGTTATTTGACATTTATAAATCATGTATTTTGATTATTTTATGCGATTATAATTCTAGCAATGGACATTTCTTTAATTTGGAGGATTGTCTTTCATTCAATGAGCTCTCAAGTAAAATAATAAATAATTGTATTCGTTTAGTCTTAAACGGGGAAACTACAAAAAATGTAGCTCTAAATTCAGCTTTATTTCTACCCACACAAAAGACATATGCCTTGAAACAATTTGTTTTCTTTTGGAAAACTTTTCAGGATATAAAAAAGAATGTAAATGTCTTTCTGTCTTCCTGCATAATATATTTTATGTAACATTTGTCATGTGATGCAAGTACTGAATAAAAATGTGTTAACATTTTACATTACACTGTTGATTCTATATTTTGAGTGTAATTTATTCATTTTGAATGATAGTGATTTGGAAGCATGATGAAAGCACTGTTTGCCTTTAGGACAATACTTTGTACCCCCCCCCCCCCGCCCCTCCACCCGAAGGCCCCCTCATAACCCCCCTCGCAATTGAGATTTCAGAGAAGAAATAAAAAAGAGTGTTATATGTTTGGAATCTCATGAAACCTGGGAAGGTCCCTCCTGCTACATGGTAAAATGAACCCCCCCCCCCCAAACTGGGCTATTGTCACGCCCCTGAATGCTACTACCCCTCCCCCACACACTTTCCCCGCCCACTATCCATAAACAGGGCCACACCAACCTCGTATCTCCATTCCGCTTTGTTGAACGCCACAAAACAGGGAACGAGGCTGGCACAATGTGACCTATTGAGTTGACCTCAAGTTCGACATGTGTGTGTGTGATTTTGCAATGCGCCGATCGCGCGACGTTGATGTGGACATACGGTTCTACAAAACGAACACAAAAAATCGTTGTTTACCAAAAGGAGACTAAACTCCGTCAAAATTAAGAGTCATGGGAAAACCTAAGAAGGGCAGGAACACGAGAGGAGCCGACACTGATTCGTAAGTTGAGAATTTTGACCACATTTGTCTGTTATTTCCAGAAGGCTATTGTGATTGTGAAGCGCTTCCTGATGATGAAAGGCTAGGCGAAATCCTCATGTTGTTGACTAAGCCTAGGCCGGGGGTTCGAACTGTGTCTATTGCACAATCACAGGTCAATAATGCATCAATGCCATCTTGCATGTCATGTCATTATTTCGGTAATACAATGGCAATATTTTTAGGACCCTGTTCCTAACAGATTATGAAATCCTGTAACTATGATTGAGTTGAATACTAAAGATAGCATTTTGATTGCACAACAGTCAAGCTAGTCAGTCAGCATCATCAGTTCACATGATATAGGCCCATTATAATGAACAAGCCAACATAGCCGACTGCACAATACCATAAGATTTTACTTTGAAGTTTCAACAAACAAAATAATAGAAAGACAAATCTATTAGAAAAAAGAAGGTTTTTTTGCCACAAAGGAACCTTTTTTCCTCCAGAAAGGTAGGTTTAAAGTTGTGTGAATTTTTATTATTATCAGTGTATTTTGTTAGGTTTTTCAGTAAAGATAATTTTAGGATTATGGATACAGTGACTGTGTTTGTGCAAATTTTACTTTTACATTTGCTTGGATGGGATACGGGAGCACTGAACTGTTTATAATTTGTAGAATTATAAACAATTATGTAATGAATTTTGTCAAAACAAGTTCTTTTGTTCAGCATGATGACAGGTGTTTTATTAATTGATCATGCAGGGACGATGATTTGGACCCCGTCGCTAAAGCTTTGAAAGAGATCAATGATGAGGATATGGGCGGCAAGGCGGCAGGCAAGAAAGGAAAGAAGAAGAAAAAGAAGTAGGTGCTAAGGCCACAAAAAAAAGAAGGTCTGCTTCCGGTTACCCTACCTACACTATTTTGACAGCCCCTACCCTATTTTTTTTGGATGGGGGAATGAGGAAAAAAACACCCAAATCATCAATCTATCTTTAACCCTTGACAACATGCAGACACCTCCACATGATAGTACAGCAAAATTGCCAACAACAAAAACTCCCTACCTACCTACCCTATTTTCAAATGCCATGTAATCGGAAGCAGAACTGTTTTTTGTTTGCCTTAAGATCAGTCATCAACTACAGGAAGTTCTGGCATTTTTGCTTGAATTCTTCCTGAATCAGTTCTCAAATTCCACCTCTGCAGGAAATCGTGAGGTATCTTTACTCTTCAATCTTCCCAAAGGAATGAAAACATAAGGCAATCAAGTTAAAAACGATACATGGTGGCAATGTAATGGTGCTTTTGCTCCTTCTTTGTTAATTAGACAAATTTCTCTTATGAGCTTCTGAGTTCTTTTGAATGAAATACTTTTCTGTTTAAAAACTTCCAATAAACGTCCAACCAAGCTGAAAATTCTGTACTGTGATGTGCTTGGCTGTATTGCTCAGTAGCATGGCCAAATCCATAGAACTTATGATCAGAAAATATTAGATATTACTTCTGAGCGTTTCTGTGCTTAAGTAGTGCCATTACATTGGCCCCGATGCCTCAGTAAAAATTGAAAACTTGCTGTGTCCAGGGACGTGGATGAGCTGTTTGATGAGCTAGCGGCCAAGGAGGGAGAGAGTGAGATGCCACAAGAGACGGCCAAGGTTCCTGACGAGGAGGAGACAGCTGCCAAGGGCAAGAAGGTTGGTGTTAGACCTAGCATGCTCTCTAGACAACCTATGCCTGTTCTATGGCTTCGGCTCAAGGAGATTTGAGGACCTGCACATGGGGGAGGGGGTAGTATAGGGCTCAATAGAGCTCCATGTTCTGCTTCATCACATCAAATCCTATAATATAATGTCAGTGATATCAAGTAATTTGTCTAGTTAGGATATTTAAAACTTTTAAAAGATTCTGGTTCCAGAAATGAAACCAAAGTCAACAACTCTGTGTGTTAGGGTCCGTTCATTCTGCATGTGAGAACACGATGAATTTCACGACTATGATTGTAATTCCATCGTGACATTATCAAACAATGGTTTCACGTGACAGTTCTGTTATTAGTAGACTTGATTCAGAGTTCATTGCACAGTTACCCTTTCCCCTCTCTTTTGTCTTGTGCAGGGCAAGAAAGGAAGGAAGAGAAAAGACGACTGGTAAGAAGTCTATATCAGTAGATGTATGATTTTTTTTATGCACACTCTTAACGTTATACATCATTTCGTTGGATGCCATTTTGAAACTCGCACTGATCTACCGATCGGGAAAAGGTCCCCGAGATCCAGGATCCATCAAGATTCTAGCAAACAAACCCACCCTCAATCAGTTTTTTTTTTGCTGTACATTTGCAGGGACGAGGATGACATTGCTAAAGAACTGGAAGCCATCAGCATGGATGCCAAGAAGGAGAAAGGAGGTAAAGGCAATAAGACTGTACAGAGCCAGGCAGCGGAGGATGGAGATGAAGAAAGCAAAGATGCACAGAAGGAGGAGGAGGTAAGTTGTGTGTGCTTGTTACGTGTTACCATTGGTACAATAACCTGGTGAGTTTGCAGGTACACTACGAAACTAATCTCTTTAGTGAAGAGTCAGCAGTTAGAATTGTTCTCGTTGTTTTGGGCTGTGTTTTCTGTCCGTGGGTTGAAATCAAATCCTTACAAGTCAATCACAAGTCATCAAGTCTCAAGTCTTTAGTGACAAATTCAATGAAACTTCACTGCAAATACACTTAATTTTCGATTGTTTCAAAGTTCCCAAGGCAATGCAGTGTTCATCATTGTTCCCTGTTACCTGACTTGTGATTGACTCCTTATTTGCTTGTGATTGACTTGTGATTGCTTGTGATTTGACTTGTGATTGGCTTGTGATTGACTTGTGATTGACTTTTAATTGCTTGTAATTTGACTTGTGATTGACTTGGGATTTACTTGTGATTGGCTTGAGATTGACTTGTGATTGGCTTGAGATTGACTTGTGATTGACTTGTGATTGACTTGTGATTGACTTTTGATTGACTGGAGATGAGAAATTGACTCGATTACAACTCTGCAAAAAATCCTTTTTGTGTCCAAATCACAGCCCGCCGAGCAGAGAGAACCCGTTCAGGATGATGAAGACAGTGATGAAGGTCCCGTGATCAAAACAGCCGCCCAGAAGAGGGCCGAGAAGAAGGAGCGAGAGCGGAAGAAGAAAGAACTGCAGCGCGCCGAGGCCAGGAATCGCCGGCAGAAACAACAGACGAAAGGAGCAGACAATGAGGGAGAATCGACAATAGAGGGCGACAAAGCAGCAGTAGCAGAGACCATCCAAGGTGTGTATGGCTGTGTCATAACTAAAGTTGTTTTTTTTCTGGCTTCAGATTCTGTATTGCCATTGACAATGAAACAAGACCTTCTGTTTCAGACTCATTCTCTAGGTTTCATATGGTGGCTTGTTCTGTACTAGACTACTGGCTCCGTGTGCCAACAAAAGAAGGCGCTTTTGGGCCACTTTCGAGAGCCGAGTGTTCGCGTGCATAAAGCCATAGCGTCCTTACGTGAGTGTCGGTTGTCATTGGCAATGCGTTCCAGTGTCTCTCCCAGTGGTCCCTCCCAACTCTCCCTTTCTTACCGTTGAGGGGGTACTTGTGCATGGAGCCCATAGACCTGTCCTGATTTTATATGTGTATGATCACAGAGCTTCTATTATGGGGTTTTCTGTTCTGCCTTTCAATCAAACAGTGCACATTGACCAATTAGATTAAGAACGATGACAATATCTTTGATGAAGGTGATATTTTTTTCACCCAGTAATCAAAAGAGATCGATTCGATTTAATTTTCCTTTTCTTATCCATCTGAAGACAAACAAGATGACGAAGAAGCGCCCGAGGAAGGGGACAAGAAAAAGAAGAAGAAGAAAAAGAAGAAAGGAAAAGAGGAAGAAGACGAAGAACTAGAAGAGAACAAGGAGGTTGTGGCACCAGCAGAAGGTAATTGAATGGTTGCCATTAGGAAAATCGTGGTGTTCTTTTTTAAATGCAATTTTGGTTTGACCTGTATAAGGAAAAACTCCTTTTTAAGCAGAAAAAAGATACAGCAGCGCAACACCACATCAGCAGTTGCACTGGCTGTTATTACAATGTCAAACATTATAATGAAAACCATCCCGTAACAAAATGCGCATCTCTGATGATGTTAACTAATTGTTACATTTTCTTAAAGGGGAGACCAAGGGTGATGCTGCGGAAGGGGAGGAGGAGGAGGAGGAAGGAGACAAGAAGAAGAAGAGGAGGAAAAAGAAGAAAGGAAAAGAGGAAGAAGAAGAGAAAGACAAGGACAAAAAGAAGAAGCCGGGAAAAGGTACAAGTCAGGACGGGAAGGGTTATCTTGAAATTGAGGTTTTTTTTTTTTTATATTTTGTATCCTCTTTACATCTTCATAAAAACTTTCATACTCGCTGAACCCATTACATTTGTACTACATTGTATAACATTGTATAGTTTCTTGATGAATCCATAAAAACCATGCAGTGCTGGTGTGGTTTTGGTTGGTACAGGGAGTAAGAGGCAGGGCGGTTGTGGGTGGATTAGATCTTTCGATTTTGATTAGAACACTATGGATCTCAGGCTGTGCTCCGTGGTCATATATTGGTTGTATGGTCGTATTTACGACCATATGACATATTGTAGCCGCGTCCTTCGCAATTCAGCTTCGCAGCTGCGAGTGAGGATGATTAACCTCCCAAACGATAATTTTTATTATTAAAGGCATTTAGGATCATTTGCATTTATCCCAAAAGTAACCCACCAAAGTGTTATAAAAAAATCTTACTTAGATTAAAGATCATTCTGATTCTAAACATCCCTTGAAAGTATTACATGTGGCTTTCAGGCATTTCAAAGATATCAAGAAATGTAGGTGAATTTCAACTATCAGTCAATTGACTGAGGCTTGGTAATAAAGAGTGCTATTGATAAATCATGTTTTGTAATCAAAAGTGTCTGCATGGTTTTTCACTGTTTTCTCGGTAAGTGTAATATTCACTGGGCTGAATCTTCAACAGGTTAGGTTTTGATGATTCTTCTTTGGATTTGGAGTAGTGTTAGTTTTGTCAACGAATAAAATGCATGAAAAGCAAATGGTCCAAAATGCCTTAAAAGAATAAATACACCAATAAAAAAATAAGAAATGAAAACCAATGATCAATCACCTTTTGCTGCGTTCATCACATGTGATTTATCTTTTTTTGGAAAAAAAAATACCAGCGGTGCGTGCCATGCAGGAGGCCCTGAAGAAGATGAAAGAGGAGGAGGAACGACAGAAGGAAGAGGAACAGGCCAGGATTAAAGCAGCTGAGCTGGCCGAAGAGAAACGTCTGGAGAAACTCAGACTGGAGAAAGAGAAGAAAGAACGAGACAAACAAAAAAAGAAGGTGCGTAGGGCATCTCGTTTGATGCTGTTGTTAGTTACTGTAAGGGCCAGTTTCTCGGTGCATGGGAAATTTGAACACAATGTTGTTGAAACGTTAGGAGACGTATACTCCATCTAGTCCGTGCTGTTTGCATGTGGTAATTCATTAAGAGTCAGGGTATACCTCAAAGAGTATGGAAATGTGAGCAGAATTTTTCTAAAAATCCTGGCAAGACTGTCATCATAGTCCTGAAAAATGGACTCATTTTCAAATCTGGTGAACGATGCATCTTGCCAGATGTGAACACAGTTCAGACATAGGAGTTGAAAGCAGGGTTGCAAAGAGGCCAATCGCCCGCCCAATTATTAAAAATTTATTTTCCCTCTCACTTTCAGATACCCCGCTACAGAAGGGGGGGGGTGAAAGATTTTGTGGGATTAAGGAAGTGTTGCCCACTTCTCCAAATCCATCCCCCACTCAATCCTATCTGCACCTATCCCAAAGCTGACAGCGGTGAACCTAAGCCTAATAATACCAACTCCTCTAACCCCGTCCCCATCCCCCACCCCAACCTCAACCCAAAGCTGACCCAACTGTACCCGTCCCTATTCTCCACTGCAACACATTTCAACCCCACCGGAACCAAAACAACACTCAATCCAAGCCTTTGAACACCTGTTTCACCCCCAAACCGCCCTTAACTCAAGCCAGTTCACTTAACTCCATCAATCAAACTCAACATTGGACGACATTTTCTTTTTTTCCAGGAGCGCATCGAGAGACTCAAGAAGGAAGGCAAGTACCTGACCAAGAGCCAGAAGGAGGCCAAGGCCCGAGCTGAGGCCATGCTGGAGGCTCTCAAGCAGCAAGGGGTGGAAGTACCCAGCAAAGAGACGGTGGCAGCAGCTGCTGAGGAGAACAAGAAGAAAGTCCGGTACGGCGTCCGGGAACGGAAAAAGAAGAAAGACCAGACGGAAGGTGGGTTCTAAACAAATCATGTACATCTTATTTTTAGTTTGGAATCTACGTACATTTTCCATTGCTGGTTATGTGCTGTATACCCTCAAGCTTACAGGATACACAATGTGTTGAGGGATTTCTGGTCTCGCTTGGGAGTAAGTAAATCAGTTATTAAGCCGAGATTTTAGCTGAAATCTTTTTTTTGACATCAACCTATAGGTTGTGATGAAGAACTGCACAACAGTTAGTGGCCGGCAGTTCAATTGAGCAAAAATTGTTGACAAAACTAGAAAAAAAAAGCCCATATCCTTTATTCTGAAAAAGTTGAATCCTTTTGTTTTTTTGGTAAACAGCAAATACGTCAACAATTTTGTCTTAGATTCCTGTTATGTATAAAATAAATGCTGAATCGAACCCAAGCTGTTTATAATGTGATTCAAATGTAGTGTTACACAGAAAGGTTGCGTCCCAGTTACTCGACTACGGCTGGTAATAGCTTTACCTCATTCCAGTTGTGCATGTTTAGTTGCAAGCTTCCACCAAGTATCGACTCCAAAAGCTTGAAAAGCATATGGTCCCCGATGTTCCTAACTTTCATTCAACTCTTTTTCGATTTTCAGGACAAGCTGAAGTGGGCACAGAGCTGCAGCGCGAGGATTCCGAGGAGAAATCTGAAGACATGAAAGAGGAGGCCGCAGATACGCTTGCCATGGAAACTGAAGTGATAGACGAGGCAAAGGAGGAGGAGGTGTTGGTGGAGGAGGACGAGGAGGTTGTTCAAGACAGTTGGGAGGCAGTGACTGAATCCTGGGATGCAGAAGGCTCAGATGAAGACAGAGAAGAAGAAGAAGAACAAAGTAATTTTTAAAAAATCAGGATTTTTAGCCCACAATTAGTTGTATCCCACTGGCACGTCTATCTCAATTATATGTTCTTCATTTGCCATAATTCGGGGGGGGGTTTCCCCAGAGTTTGACATTGCGCATTAATCCTAACCATCCCAGATCCTTGCAAGTCCAACTGGAGGTTTGAGGGGATTTATCAAGATTGGGGAAGGTTGTGCTAAATTACTTTTACTTTTAGGAAGGACACCTGTGTCCAGGTACACCTCTATCCAAGCTCCGGGTACCCTGATCTTTCTCAACATAAGAGATGTTGCTGATCATGGCATTGGTTGGTTGAAGCCCGTCATTTAAAACAAGTGACCAGATTTCTGGCTTTCCTTGCAATCTTGCCGGAAGAGTGTTTATTTTTTTTTGGCCTTATTTCTGTCTTTGAAGGCAAAGATGAGAAGCCACCCCAGGACGGCATCCCGACGGCTGAGATCACGGTCCAACCTGTCAAGGATGCGGAGAAGGCAGATGAAAACGACGACGAAGAAGAAGATGATGAAGATGATGAGGATAGTGAAGAGGCGAGCAGCGAGGAGTCAGATGAGGATGAGGAATCGGAGAGCGAGTCCGAGTCTGAATCGGAGTCAGAATCCGAGGACGAGCGGAGCAAAGCCGAGAAAGCCAGGGATAAAGTCAAACTGCGGATTCAGGTCGGTGTTCAGACTCTTCTTCCAGCAAACCCAGTGTTGCAGTCGATCCCATCGCAAGTCCAATTCTGACTTGGACTCTCTGTCTAGAACAATTGGCCAAGAAAAAAGAATGTTCTGTTTCCTATTACTTTGAAGAAAAAAATAGTGTGGGTAAAATGTGGGGTTTTTCTGGGCAGGCTTTCGTATCAGTTAACACGTAAATCAACTGTTTATTCTGCGTTTGCTGCCCTGTTGATAGGCTTTACTGCACTGTTTGGCAAGATCGCACTCGCGAACACGTTACAAAAAATGAAATAAAAGTGTCCAAAAAATGTAGGACAGTGTCTGCAACAAGTAGGCTGGGCTGGGACCATAAAAAAAATCAGTTTTGCATATGAGAGCCTGATGAAATAACCACACAAAGTAGTGATGTAAGCCTGAAAACACGCAATTTCGTCCTTGGCCTTATGTCACGAGGTATTGGATAGTAAGTCGGTGTCAGAGTCTGAGGATGACCGGACCATGTCTAAGAATGTTATATATAATCAAACTGCTGATCGAGATGAACCTGATCAACGATTAGCAGGGGATATAGAGGAACAGAGGAACATTGGAATCGCTAATTGACTTGGGACTGGAGGACTTGTGAGATTGTAAATGACCTGTGATGGATTCCTCCACAACAAAGTTGGGTTGTTTTGTTTTAATGAGAGTCAATCCGGAGGTCACAGGTTCAAACCAGGTTCAAATCCAGCTCCAATCAACCTCTTTTTGCATTGTTCTTGTCTAGAAACGAAGGGAAGAAGCTGAATCCAGAAAGTCCACTGACCATCTGAGATCACCCGTGGTTGTCGTCTTGGGACACGTAGACACCGGCAAAACCAAGATTCTGGACAAGGTATGGCTCCCAACGCAATCATTTAGAAAGGAAAAAAACTCCTTATCCGAAAAGTTGAATAGTGGCCACTTCCACATAAATGCTAGTCCGGATTCTGGACTTTTTTTTGGTCACAGACCCAGTAGGGCGCCCTCTCCACAAACACTCGCCTTTTCGGGTGTGAGAGTCTGCTGTACGCAAGTGCAGTGGCTCGGGTCGGGTGCATGGGGACGCGCGCTTGATTGATCGCACGAGAACAGTCCAGGCAGTGGACTACATAAATGCCTGCTTGTACATGGCTTTGCATTGCTGTGCATAACCCCTATACCATTTTCCACTGTTGACGTTTCATCCGTGGTGCATTCTCAAAAGCTGACATGAGACATTAAAAATACTTGGATATAACAAACTACATGTAGCAGTGTCATTTTTGGGGGGGCCTATTACAGTCCAAACGTGTGAGTGAGCCAGTCCGTACTGATCAGATAAATATGGTTAAGGGTTTGGATCCATTGATTTTTGTTTAAGATTCGACACACCCACGTCCAAGACGGGGAAGCTGGCGGCATTACACAGCAGATAGGAGCCACCATGGTGCCTCCAGATGCCATCAGGGAACAGACCAAGATGTGTAGGCAGGTAAGGCAAGCATGGTGTTTGTGTCCTTGGGCATGACACTTTACTACAATTTGCTCTCTCTACCCAGGCTTTTAAATGGGCACTTGTAAGGCCAGGGACCAGATCTTGAGCTGCTTCAGATAGCTGGTCAAATGACCTGATGGGCAGCATGGCAGCCACTTACAACCAGAGGGAAACATAGTGTTTGTGTTCCTGGGCATGACACTTTACTACAATCGCCTCTCTCCCAGGAGTAGTCATGGGTACCTGTGAGGGTAGAGACCAGATTGCATCGATCTTGAGCAGCTGCCAAAAATTGGTCTCATGGCCCTTTGAGACATTGGTATAAAATGCCATATCGACACCATCATACTCCAGACAGATCATGAGTGTGACTAGACTCGAGAGCAAGTCTCTAGACAGATGTGTTTTGTCTGTTGGCGCCCTCAATATATACTAGCACGGCGCTGTGTGTCATGTTTATTATCATTTGCTTTCGACTTGACTAACATGATTCAGACGCACATTCATTTATCAGGCATGCAACTTTTCCTGGGATCAGCTGATTTCCTTGTTTTTCACTTCACACTTACGCCATTCACAACTGAAAAGCACAAAACAAAGTCTTGTTAAGATTGGAGTTTCCTCATTTTTAGTTTCTTCCAAGTTGCATGCCTGATTTATGCGCCCATCGAAATACATGTGCATTACGTTTCCATGGAGAGGGCCAATGATAGCTCATCTGTACCACTGAGGAAGCTTCCATTATTAGAGTGGGGATGTCTTTCTCTAGATCAGGGCACGTGTCTCTCTTTTTCCAAAAGATAATCATTAGAAAATTAAACTCAATTGTATAATAATGCTAAAAAGAGAAAATATAACTTTTCAAGTAATTGTTCTCCGAAGAAGAGAAAAATATGACGGAATACCAAACGGCTCAAAAATAAGCTTTTGACACCCCCCCCCCAAGAATGGGACTCGCTCCGTGCTGTACTCCACTCACCATGGATAGAACATGTGTACATGTGTAGCACAAATGCATCAAGCTGTAAGGTGTAACATGAATATTCATATTCCCCTGATTCCTAACCAATCATGTCCCCGCATGTAAATGCCCTGGCTCACGCAACACACACCACACCATGGGATTGCGCGGTATGTAGAAACTCTGTATGGGGTGTGCGACAGGCGAACAAAATTGTACCAATTACCGACTTGATTTCAAGTCTATATTATGACCTTTCTTTTCCCAAACAGACAAGCTTCTTGCAAGAAAAAAGTCCTTGAATTCATTCCTTTGGAGTTGAAATCAAGCAGGTTTTTTTTTTGTTCCACAATACAGTCAAGACCTTTATTCTTTTGCACATCTTTTGCCTTTTAATTACAAGCTTCATTCAGTTTACATTTAAGTAATTTAAAAAAAAAAAGAGAGCAAATCAAATTTGAAAATTGTGGTTTGTATCCTTTTTTTGGTCTAGTTGTCAAACAAAGTGTAACATGGTGCTATACGTGCTTTTTTGATGTGGCACCTTGAAAAATAGATTTTCAAATTGAATTGATAATTTTCTACCATTACATTAGTTATGAGATTTCCATTGAGACATCGCACACAAAGATATCGGCCCACGACAAGCAATCAATTAAATAATTTCAACTTTTGAATTAAGAACGAGACACTCCTAATTCGTTCTAAACAGTGTGCACAATTTCTGAACTGGAGTACATCCTTTAAAACCACTATTTAAAACTGTACAAAGACCTGCAAAAACAAACAAGCAAATTTTATTTGTTACAGGACAATATATTCTTTTAAAAGTCGTTTCGGAAAGAAAATCAAAATTTTGATAAAAGCAAGTTTATATCAATTTAAATTGCAGAATGTACATTCAGTATAAGTGCATAATATTTATTGTTACGTTTTACTCTTAAACAGACTCAAACTTCAAAAATGTTTATACAGGGTGAGTAAAAAAAAGCGGAACCCAAACCCCAAAAATTATATTTCATATAAAAATATGTAGCGCCAAACATAATAATGACTGGGAAGCCAATTTCATAAGCTGCTTTTAGATGAAAAAATTACTGAAATTGCAAGATTCGTTCAAAGAATATCTCCATTTGAACACAATGACCCTAAAACCTCTTTCGTCCAAAAAAAACCCCAAGTTTTTTTTTTCATCTAAATGTAGCTTATGAAATTGGCTTTCCAGTCATTATTATGTTTGGTGCTACATATTTTTTCAAATATGAAATATATTTTTGGGGGTTTGGGTTCCGCTTTTTGGACTTACCCTGTATTATACTGTGTACAATAATATCAAGATTACTTTGTAAAATGTGCACAATGCTTTTCAGCATATTCCAATGCATCAATTTTCTTTATCCTAGTTACATTTCACAAATAAGTGCAGAATATACATTTATTTAAGTGTACTATACACTTACTATGTGCAATAGCAGATTTCAAGATTACTTTCTAACACGTGTTCAAACTTGTCCATCATTCAGATGCATCGGTTTTCTTTCTCTAAAAAAAGATCCCACTTACAACACGAATATTGGCTTACCATTCATGCCAGTCTACATTTTCTTAAGAGATTAGGTATATAAGTGCTCAAATGTAAGTGCAAAATCTTTATCATTATCTTTTACTTTTTTACCGACTGAAACTTCCATATTCATATTATACTGTGTGCAATAATTTCAAAATTTACATAAACATTTCAGGCCTTCAAATGCATCATTTTCTTTTTCTAAAAATGTTGTATTAAGGCACTGTACTTGTTCATACCTACAACAATACGTGATAATTTATGTAGTGCTCTATCAATGTTATTTACATCAAAACACAGGAATTTCTCAGTGATGGTTTCAGTTTTCAGGGAATTGCGTGAGCCTTTCTGAATACTCAAATCTTGAAGTTAAATTTAATCCTTAACCTATTATAAACAAGAAAAAATCCATTAACTAGTATGGAACCATCCAATGAGTAAGAAGTTATTTTATATTAACTAAATTAATGGCAAAGTCATCATTCAGTTTCAAGTTTATCAGAAAGTTCATGTTTTCATTGACAAATTTGAGGTGATGTCATTGAAAAGTACTTAAATATAAATGTTGCCAGTCAAGTAAGCATAATCTGCAGTTAAATCATGTAGATCATGTGTTGACGGTTTCAGATTCATGTATTTGTCAAAAGGTGGTCCTGTTTAATAAAATGATGTTTTGTAGAAGCAGACTGTTGAGATAATTTACCTTGAATCAGAATCAGTCAAGTCTGTAGTTGGCACAGCTCTCCAGGGTAGTCACAAACTTGTCAGCATCAACCTGGGAGATGGTGACATTGTTGAGATGGCACATCTTCCCTGACAGGTTGAAGGAGCGGCAGTTGGGATCCTTGTAGCAGGCCATGCAGCATTGTATCGGGTACTTGATCTGGGTGACCATGTAGGCGTGGCCCAGCAGGCAGTAGGGTGTGGTCATCAGGTCAGCATCTTGCTTGCTCACAGCTTGGCAGCGAACTAAACCGTTTTTTTCCTCTTGTTTCTCACATACAAATCGCTTCACCTTGATACAATCAATTTCTTCAAATTCTGAAGTGAAGGGCTTCAGCAATGTGCATGTCTGTTCATCGTTGAACATTGCAAGCTGCTGTTGGTTATCATCAGAGCACACCCGCCTCCCATCTTTCTCCTTACAGCCAAGCCAGAGCCCTTTGGGAGTTGAATTCTCACCAGGAAATGCTTGCTGCATAATTTCTCTTATAAAGTCTGTCTCTTCCTTGGAGTTGAGAACCAGCAGCTGAGCATTCAGACTTTCACATTTCTTGTATGCCTCAATCCATGGGACTTTGTCTGTAATATACTTGATGTAGCAAGTGTGATTGTAGTATGTCCATCCTTGTGGGCAACTCATACAGGTAGCATCAGCATTGAAAACACCAACCATCACAGCAAGCCAACCTCCAAACAGAATGCTTTCCATCTCCAGATACATAGTTGGTTATTCAATTTGTAAATTACATCAAGTTGATTAAATTGATCGAGTAATGGAAACTAAAACAAATTACTATCAGATTGTAGAATAATATTTCTCCAAATCCATCTTACAGAAATCCAACTCAATATTTGTCACTCCAAAGTCAATTTCCTTCATCAAAGTGTAGAAAAGATGCTCTCATGTCTCATATGTGTGCGGAGCCCAGACTGACTGCCACGTCAACACAATTGTTTCTCATTTGTAAAAGATGCTTTGCATCTGTTTGGGTAAAGTTGGCATGGAAACAGGTCTGTTAATTATAATTTTATAGCATTATAATATTGGAGATGATAATCAAAACAGCAGGAACCAGAAACTGGAGATTAATCAAAAGTCTGTTAGTTACGCTTCAAAAAACCTGGCTCTCGTTTTGTCCAGTCAAGGTCTTGCAACTGTGCATTATTATACAGGCAGTTTAAATTTTAGCAGACATTCTAATATTGGCTCTTAAATGCGGATCGTGAATTCAAGCATGACATTAGCCATCAATAAGTGAGGTAACGTTAAATTTTCAACTCTTATGGCTAGTTCATACTTCATGTGAATGTAATGAGAAAGAGAATTGGACGTCATGAGACAATCAGGGAACAGACTAAGATGTATAAGCAGCTAAAGCAACCAATCCCTGTGTGCTCTTGTGGATTGGTGTTGGCCCCTCCTCTATTTCTATGTGTTACCATATCCCTCCTGCTTTATATTCAAACAAAGATTTGTTTGTTGCATTGTGAATGATGTACTATTGTGGTCTTATTCCTTAGCTGTCCATTGCTTCCTTGAAAGTTTCAGCATTCACAACTCCATAACTTGTAATTAGGACATTTGTTTTTCTAAATGGGATGCATTTTTTTTGCAAGAACAAATCCTTGAATCTGTAGTTTTTGACTTAAAATCAGGCACTGTACTTTGTCACAATTACAAAACGCAATCAGATATTTAATGTACTCTTTATGTTAGTAACATCAATACACAGGAATTTCCTGGTG